GAGATATAAGAAACAGAGCATAGCTCGCCCGCCGATCCCATATGAGCACCTCGCCGCCGTGGCTAGAGGCGAGAATGTGGGGGTCCTGCCGATTCCACTTGACCTGCGTTCCCCCGGCTGGAACATGTGAGCTCTGATCAAGGCTTGACGAAGCGTACGCACCATTGAACGCGCTTAGACCAAAGACTGCACGGCCGCCCTTGGCCGCACGCAGGTCCCACGCCCAAACCCAGGAATCTACGCCCGTGCTCACAACGAGATCGCGCTCCGCAGGTGCGGGATGCCAGTTTATGTCCGTGATCGCGCGATAGTGCCCCTGCAAGACATGCTGGATGGACGACGGGTTCTGCTCCGGCGCGCTGCTGCTACTCGAGCCTGCGGTGAGGAGAAGGTTCCAGATAAGCCTGGCACGAAGTATTGAGCACCAAAGACTCCCAAAGTCCTGCGCAGAACGTACAGTTTCTCGGAGCTCGTGCTGACGATGTACTCTGCGCGGCTGACGTGCGGGTTCCACTGTACATCGGCGACATCCCAGGAACCGCCCTGCGGAAGGAAGCGCGGGACGCTGAGCGGCGACTCAAGGTCAATAATGAAGAGGCCTCGACGTGCGGCGAGCACGATGTCGCGCGAAGTCGGGGATATACTCATCTGCAGTCGTTTAACGATTTCCCAGCCTTAAAAAAAGAGTCTTACATTCCCCACTGCGTCACCGACGAGGCCCTTCATATCAATCTGCAAGCCCATTCGAAAGTTGCTCGCAGAGTCCTCCGAGCTCTCACCCTCTCCGTCGGGAGAAGGAACGGCAGACGCAGACGAGTCTGAAGTTGACCCTGAACCAGACCCCGACCCCGACTCTTCGACATGTGCCGGGTAGTATAAGCGCTTCTTGGCCTTGAAAATTACAGAACTGTGAAGATCGCTATTAGTGCCGCTTCCTTCGACCGCAGGCGCAGGGGTCCAGCTGGGTCTCCGTCCAGCAGAGTCGGGGGTGGTCATCACAGAGGAGCCTGGGATGGGCGATATCCACGATGGGCGTCGCGCGCTGGGGGGTGGTGGCGCAAAGTGTAAACCTGAAACATGCGCCCGGGACGTTTGTCCCTGTTCATCTGTTCGCCGTGGCATAAAAGCAGAAAGGCGACTGGAAGGCCGCGGAGTTGGAGATTTCGTTTCGAAATAATGTCGGCGGGTGCGGTGGTTATGATCTATGAAGCCATCACATGACCGACGCGCACGCTGTTGCACATTACGGACAAAATTTTGCTTCCAATTAACCCGAAACGTGCAAATCTGATGTCAGAAAACGGACAAAACTTCGCCAAACCCGGAAAATCGGTATCAGACCTCTTGGTTGTACTTTCAGGGGTGTTACTTGCTCTGGTTTGGTTCCCAGTGGCAGACTCGAAGGACATACTATGATGCAAAGTAACAAACAACCATGAAATAATGAGGACGGTCATCAGGTTCCCGAGTCGTTGTATCTTCTGATACAAGTTGCAGATTGCGGCGGCAGCGAACTTGGTTCATACAGAATAACTTGATTCGCCAGTCTGAGATCAAAAGGAACAACGACTCCTTGTACAACTACAGTACGGCAGCTCTTCTCAATTGTCTTGAACGCAGGCAATGCCACGCCGCACAAATGCCTCAAACGCCAGGACGGATTCCCTAGCTTTAAGTTTCAGTGGCGTAGAAGCTACAGTGGCACGTGTGGTTCATCCACATGTGAGAGCGGGGCTATAGCGTCCTAAGTTACGCCCTCCGGACTATACATCTGCCAGTTTCCGTCATGCTCCCGGTCAAACTGCCGAGAATTCAGGACAATATTGTAAGCAAGAGGTGGGATCTCTTGATCTGGCCCGCCTTCAACATATGCTTGGCGGGGGGGGGGGGGGGGTAAACACTGTATTCAATAGCCCTGTATTCGCTTACTGACGACGAGAAGCCCGTCTGTACGCGTCGCGTGGCGCGACGCGTTTCCTTGGCTAGATTCATCCGAAAGTGCCCTTCAAGTTCATGCCTCCAATTTCACCCTACGATCCGCATATCAAAATATAGACGCATCAATTATTAGTATAATTATCAGTATATATCATCAGAACGACTCGCTGTGCAGAATTCGTCCCAGTGTTTTTCATGATGAACGTTTCTGTAGTCTCGACGCGTGACGTCATCGGTGACGATCACGCGCGTTTCTTTCCTTATAAGGACGCGTATACGGCCATCTTTTCTCTCTCTTTCCTGCCCGCCATGTCGACCGACGCGAACGCGGAATACTCTGCAAAGAAGGACCAGAACTATACCATGGCGAGTACCGCTTTCTTCGGATTGGGCGTGTTTTTCACCGCGCCTTTGCCAGCTGCAAGCCTTCGAATGGTACGTCGAGGGCGGCGGCGTTCACTGGAAGCGCCTCGAGAAGCTGGTGCCTGAACTCGCGTCGATGGGAGTAACGGCGATGTGGCTGCCGCGTGAGGATCACCCATTCGACTTCTTTCCCGTGTCTTGACCTCGCCACAGCGCCCACCAAAGCCGCAGGCCAGAATTCAGTCGGATACGACATCTACGACGTGTATGACTTGGGTCGGAAGCGTTTTGTCCTCTCATCTTCCTATACTGAGCTCGACTCTAGGCGAATTCGACCAGAAGGGCGGCGTCCGCACGAATTATGGCACCAAGGAAGAACTCATCGCCTTAATCAAAAAGGCCAAGGAGAACGGCATCATTAGCTACGTCGACGCGGTACTGAACCACCGCTTCGGCGCAGACCGCATCGAGACTTTTGCCGCGGTGGAGGTCGACAACGATGACCGGACCAAGGAGATTTCTGACAAGTACGATATCAAGGTTAGTCCGCTACCATTTGTCTCGACTGTATCCTGATCTCACTAGGGCTGGACGGGCTTTGACTTTCCGGGCCGCGGCGACAAGCACAGCAAAATGAAATACACATTCAACCACTTTACGGGCGTCGATTACAACGACGAAAACCAGAAGACCTCGATATACAAGATCCACGGGGAGGGCAAGGACTGGGCCGAGGGTGTCGACAGCGAGAACCAAAACTACGATTATCTCAGTATGGCCGATCCTCTTCTGATGCATAGTATTGTGTTGACCATTTGACGCAGTGGGAGCGGACATCGACCACAACCACCCCGACGTGCGCGCCGACCTCATACACTGGGGCAAATGGGTCACGGAGGAACTGGGCACGGGCGGATTCCGCTTTGATGCCGTCAAGCACATCGACCGCGGCTTCATCGCGGACTTTGTCAAGAGCGTGCGCGCGGAGACGGACAAGCCCAAGATGTTCGCGGTCGGCGAGTACTGGAAGGAGTCGATCACGGATCTCGAGGAGTATCTCGATGCGCTTGGGACCCAGGTTAGTCCGTTGAACTCTTGTATTTTATTTGGTGCTGATCTTAAATTGCAGTTCAGCGTGTTCGACGCGCCGCTGCACTACAACTTCAAGGAGGCCGGCGACCGCGGACGTGAGTATGACCTGCGCTCTATCTGGGACGGCACGGTCGTGCAGAAACGCCCCATCGACGCGGTTACGCTTGTTGAGAACCACGAGTGTGTTTCGTTTTTCTTCTTTCTTTCTTACGTATACTGAATCAACACAACTTTCAGTACGCAAGTCGGCCAGTCTCTCGAATCCGCGGTGAACCCCATGTTCAAGCCGCTCGCGTACGCACTCATTCTCCTTCGGCCTTCGGGATATCCGTACGTTTCATCCGCGCTGTTGTTGAGGATTAAATTTTATTTCAAACTTCAACGTAGCTGTGTATTCTGGGGCGACCTCTACGGCACCAAGGGCGACCAGCCGCAGGAGCCCGTCTCACAGCTGTCTGACCTCGTCCGGGCGCGCAAACTCTTTGCGTACGGCGAGCTCCGCGATTATTGGGATCATATGAATTGTGTTGGGTGCGTCCAGCCAACTTCTGCCTGTTGGTCAACAATAATCCATGTTGCGTCTCAGCTGGGTGCGCATGGGCGAGCCGGACAAGGGCAGGCCCGACGGGTGCGCGGTGGTGATTTGCAACGGCGATGAGGGGTACGTGCCTTCCTTCCTTCCTCGAAAAGAGAGATTACGATTAACTGACGCCCGCGGCTCTTAGATTCAAGCGCATGGAGGTCGGGAAGGAGCACGTGGGCGAGCGCTGGACGGACGTGCTGGGGTGGCACACGGGCGAGGTCGTCATTGGGGAGGATGGCTGGGCGGATTTTAGATGCTCGGCGATGAGCGTGAGCGTGTGGGTCAGGAGCGACGCGAAGGGGAGGGAGGAGTTTAACAGTTGAACAGTGTGATATTCGTCTTTGTGATAGACAGGTACCTCGACGACCCAAATGGAAAAAGGAATGGAGTAAAGAATGCCTTTGCTTAACCGTCGACAAGAACAGTAGGTAGGTAGGTAGTCACGGTCCGAATAACGAACGCCGGTTTCCAGGGATTTTCCCGGTGTACAACAAGTAGATTGCACCATCGCCCCTGGACCTCTGCCTGAGCGGCTCTCCAAGCAGACCTCATAGGTTTCCCCATGCCCCACAGACAACAGACAGCGGCACAAATACTTATTGACCTAGGATAATCAGCTTCAAGTTGGCTTCAAGTTCATTGAATCACTCTATGGGCGATGCAAAGGTACGGCGTAAGATAGAGTGCTTGATCATGAAGGACATCAAACACAAATTTCGCAACTAGCACAACTAGGAAAAGCGTATGTATGGAGCCCCGGAAGCTGGCAGATTTATTTTATATGCCGTGTCCGTCCGTGTGAGAAGAGGCAGTCCCGGTGCAGTCGGGAACGCGCTCACCCCTTGCATGGACATTAGCATCCAAGACACAGATTGATACTGTATATATGGGCCCAATAACGGATGCGCTACTACGTGGAATCGGGCCCAGCTTTATTTCGATGTCCGTCCGCGTCCGAGCATGTGCGGCAAGGCGGAAAGGGCCAATAGCTTTACAGGGAACAAATCAGAACCAATTTTATAAATTTTGACTAGTATATCGGTTTAGTACACGCGCTTGTCATAGCCATCTCTGACTTTCCGCGCGAAAGCTGGGTTCGACTCCCAGGTCGAGAGTTAAATTTTGTATTTTTTCTGCCTTGCACTTTTCACTCAATGGCAATGGACAAGATGTATGGCAAAACAATGAATCGAACCGGCCATAACGACGCTGTAGAACACGGAAGACAAAATTTTGTCTTGTTTTGGCAAGCCGGCTCGGAGCCGATCACTTAACCCGCTAAGTAACCACGAAGTCTACTATATGTATGCCAGACAGTCTCAGGAGAGCTGCAGGAAAAAGGGCTTGTAACGTATATAAACACTGCACTGCAATGGGATTGTGTAGTCCGCAATCGTTGCCACTCAGCGAAGCGCTCGTGCAATCGTCGAGGGGGTGCCAGCCCGTGAATGCCGGCACGGGTGCCGGTTGGTCGGTTGCCCCAAAATATTTTCTGGTACAGGTTTTCCCAGGTGCTAGAAACATCTCTGGCGGGCATCCATGGGCTTCTCCACAATCCAAAGTACTTCATTTAAAACAAATTTGAGATATATTGCTGCCACACGCTTAGAGCATCTGTCTGGACTCTGAAACACTGGCACAACGTAAAAACCTCAAGAACTTCATACATACACATATCTAGCAACCAGCGCAACCGTTGATGGGGCCTGGATTGGTTCATTACATGAATTTATTCAAAATGACCCAGCCGCGGACATTTGAATATGTCAAGCAAATATTATCTTGGAACTGGCGGTGAGGCCCGTAGCGGCCGGTTGGACTATAGACACCAACGAGCAGGGGAGTATATATATCTTCGGCAGTACGCACAGACGTGCGCGTTGCCCTGGAATAATATATTTTCCAAGATGTCTCGCGGTATGGCGTGGTGGTTATCCCAAACCACTATAATTCAGTAAAAACCCACTGTGCCGTGTCGTCCATTATCATGGGGCATAAAAAACAAATATCCAATTAAATATCTGAACGGCACTGGGGGTGTTATCGTTGACCGAAGCTTTCGCTTTAGCCAAATTCTACAAAGGAACAGGCAGAGTCAGTACGAGAAAAGTGCGAGTGCGACTGGGCGAGTCGCACTTCTGCTACTCAGTCGCACCAATCAGATTTTTTGGTGCGACTGCGAGCCGCGCCGTCCCCGCAGTGTGACTGGGTTGCCGTCGCTCCGCCGTTGATCGTTGATGGTATCATGATCATCATCAAATGACAATCTGAGCTTTTTTTCTTCAATGTACAGGCTGGGCAGGTTTTTTTTTACAGCTGTTTGCAAAGTTAATGGCACTTTCCGAATTTGGAAAGAAGAGAGCAAATTAGATATCCAGATTTCCCCGCGGCACTGTGGGCTCAATTCTTAACCAAATTACATAATTTTTGGTGCGTTGGAAAGCGGTTAAGTAGGGCTTTCATCTGGTATGCATATTATAGGGTTACTCCCAGATATATACATGGCCTGTACTGCAGATGCTGAGATTTGCCTGCGCTCGTTTGGGCCCAGTTCTGGCCCAAATGTCTTGATTTTCGGTTCATAAGAAAGCCAATTGGTTCAGAAATATAATGTTTAGAACAACTTTTGCTTACCTCATGCCCATGAATTCTTCCAGCCCTCCATTAAGCTGGCTCTTGATACAGCAGATTGCAAAGCATATATACAAGCCAATTTGACGAAATAAAATGACATGCAATATTGCAATAAAGTGGCTTTAAATCGGGCCCGAAATCAAGACATTTGGGCCAGAACTGGGCCCAAACGAGCGCAGGCAAATCTCAGCATCTGCAGTACAGGCCATGTATATATCTGGGAGTAACCCTATAATATGCATACCAGATGAAAGCCCTACTTAACCGCTTTCCAACGCACCAAAAATTATGTAATTTGGTTAAGAATTGAGCCCACAGTGCCGCGGGGAAATCTGGATATCTAATTTGCTCTCTTCTTTCCAAATTCGGAAAGTGCCATTAACTTTGCAAACAGCTGTAAATATACCTTACCTAACACTAACCAGCTAACCTCTAACCTAACCTCTAACCAGCTAACCTCTAACCTCTAACCACCTAACCTCTGAACCCCTAACCGCCTAGCCGTTAAGCCGGGGATCGCTCCGGATCACAGGATCAGAAGTCAATAAGCGCTGCCTCGCGGCAGGTCAGCCACCGAGCGCCCTCAGTCGCACTTTTTGAACATCAAAGTGTGACTCGGTGCCCATCAGTGCGACTGCCCCAGTAGCAGTCGCATGTTTTTCGTCCTCCCTCGAACAGGCACGACTATTAATAAATGTACCCTGGTCATCCAGATTACCTGTTTGACTAGGAAGGACTGTCTATGGGGTCTAGAACCTGTATGACTCGTCGCAATTACTGGTCAGGATGACCGCAGTCAAGTCAAGAAGGGATAATATTATTAAATGACCTGAAACAGGAATGTAGCAGTATATATTGCGGAGTCTCATTTAATAGTAATATTCTGGGCACAGTATAAATAGAGGTCGATAACACAGGGGGCAAACATAGTGGCACCTGTCATAAAGGCATCCGAGACGTCCTCGCAACGTCCTCGCATTGTCCTCGGACGGCCCACGTGAAGGCCTCGTTCTGATATTTCATGAATAGCTTGATCGCCGCATACGCCTCGTTCTGATGTCACAATTAGCTTGATCGCCGGATTCGTATTTTATTTGCTGATAGCCCGTGTTTGGTCTGTCTCTATTTTCTCGCCACCCAGCTCGCAGTTCTCTGCCACCTGCTAGGGCCCTTGCATCAACCTATATTCCTCAAAACCCCAACTGCCATCAAGGCTGGATAAACTTGGAAGTCATTCAAGCAATATGCCATCGCCGATCGTTCTGGGCGCTCGAGATACCTGCTCTTTTGCCTCTGGGAGTCTGGTTTTGCGGATGCTGAGTACTTTGTTGGCCTCACATATCCATCTCCATTCTGTCTGTTTCAGTAGTGCTGGACACTTTTCAGTGTTGCGTGTTGGTTGCGTGTACCACTCTGGCCGCATTCACAGCTCCGTACCACTTGGTATCGGTGCAGTGTTTGCGACCATGCCTATCACTGGCGGTTTGGTCACCTTCTTGACCCATGCGTTCAGTAATCTGGATCTTGCCGACTACGACTCGTGATTTAAATTTGGCACAACCCGGACCTTGCCGACCTACGACACGCAATTAAATTTGGCACACTTCTTTGTCCTTCAGCTTGTTTTCGACCACCACCATTCTGTCTGTACATCGTCTTCTTTCTTTCAACTACCAACTCGAATCATGGCTGGAACGTCCAAACGCAAAGCCGGACCGGGTGGCAGGTCCTCGAGTACAAAGAAACAGCGTGCCGCGGGGAGTAGCAGCGGCACTGGCGGAGGAGCAGCCGCTGCCACTGGCACCGCTTCGGAGGAACATGATGAGCGAGGTGCACGCCGTAGGAATCCACATGGGATAGCGCCGGACGACGTCGAGGAGGCGGCGAAGCCAACACAGGTATGGCCAGTGGCTTTTTATCGTCTGTGTCCTCACTACCTCTATGCTAGCGGGCGTTCCAGCGCCACATACGTATGGCTGCGGGTCTCCTCACCGCGGACGCCTTCCTCGAGCCTGCAGACGCATACATAGACCACTACGACAAGCGCTTTAATGATGCCGACGATATGGAGGGCCTCATGCGCCAGATTGTTGCTGAATCAAAGAAACCTAACAAGGATGCACAGAAACGGGCGGAACGGCTCATCCGCGATGCGAAGGTCATTGCTAATGGCGATGGCGCCGAGCCGGGTCATTTCGGTCAGATTGCGAAGGATATCTCGTTGATGCCGGCGGAGCATGTTGCGTTTTTCTTTGCCGCCGTAACCCGGGCTGGACTAAAGGCGTTTCACCCCGATGTTTTTGGCCCCACCCACTCGACCTACAACCTGCTGCACCGGCACCTGGCTGTATCGACATTTCAAAGCATCGCAGGATGGTACGGATACACGGCATTGAATGTCTCTTTAACTGTCGCGCAAGACTATCATCTGCTCTCCGACTTCTACGATAACTTTATGTATGGCACTGTGCGGGACAACAGTCGCAAGGAGCATTACTCGCCTGGCAGCCTTTCAAAGTCCTTGGTTCATTCTAGCGCTAGTAAGCGTCGTGCTCGGGTGTGTTTCTTCTAATTCTCAGGTGTATTTTGTCGATTGACTTTTTCTATGGCAGCTTGCGGACAGGCGTTACAAGGAGGCGAAGTTGAGGGGCTACCGCAAGCCTATTTTGCGAATGCTAAAGGTAAAGGCCGCTCATTCCGATGACGAGCGTCTCCCCGGTGGCGATGCGAGAAAGAAGAAGGGCCTCCACATTTGCACAAAGGATGGGCGCAATCCTGTGTTCACAGCCTTTGTTCGTGAGATGGACGGAGCTTTTCTCAAACGGATCGAGCGCAACCCAAACCGAAATTTGAAGTGCGTCTCAGCTTTCATGTCGTCTTTCATGCTCATGGTTTACATAGGGCTCCAGAGGCACGCACAGTCACTGTCCCACCTACCCCTTCCTCCACGCTCTCGCGGATTCTCCCTGTCGGTGTTCCAATTGACTTCTGGGACCCTCAGTTCTACAATAACGAGCTCGACGTCCGCGAGAAGGCCATGTACATGAATACTGGAGTCGCCTTCCCACTGCCACAATTCTGTACCGATTCCCATGTCAAAGAATGGTCGAAACTACCGGCCAAAGAGTTTATGGCGAAGTTTGGTAATGATGTTCTAGCGCAATATAACCAGCCTACGCCGGAGGAAATTGCGGCGCTTGGCCTCGACAACGATGGCGAGCAGGGCAATGAAGGGGACGATGAATCAACTGATTTGGAGGACACAGATGGGGACGAGGAGATGGACGACTAGATATTTTGTTTGATTCCGCATAGATCTCCCTGTTTGACGCTTTTCCCATCAATATTTACTCAATAGATTTCATTTGTTCTTGCGTAGAACGGAAATGAAATGAATAAATATTGAAAGCGGTACACGGCAGCTACTAGGATATGATAACGACATCATCGTCTTCCTCCTCCGATGCTGCTGCACTGGATG